CGTGCAAGAACAACTCACCCCGCCCTAATTCCACCTTCTTAATAAATGTCTTTCAAGGCTGGTTCAAATATGACTTCCTACAGTGAAGCTTCTTCAGTTCTTTAAGTGATTATAGTCCTTCTCTCTTCTGAATTCTTTATATCCCTTCAGTGCATTGCTTTTTGGCACCTTTTCATGTTTTCATCTGCCTTGTGTTAATAGATTTTGTATATCTGGTGTATTTCTCTAATTATTAAGCTCTTCAAGTCAGAGGCAGTGTTCACTGTCTTTTTCCTTACCTGTGACATTGACTGTACCTAACTTTACTTGAGACTAATAAATATTTATTCACGGACTGATAAATGGGTGAGCGGGTGGTTTTTGTGACTTCAGCCACACCTTCCGCAGATTTGCTGCACTATAAACATTTCCTCGTGAGAAATGGAAAGTTCCTGCTTTATACTTGCCTCATGCTTTCCTATGGCTTTGAGATGGCTGGTTCCAGCTGACTCTCACCGAAGTCCTGTACGAATTCTTGTAAGTGAGGAAGCCATGTTCCAGACAAGTAAACATAACTGGCCTAAGTATCAGTTGCAATCTTAAACTTGCGTTTTATGAAGAACATTCTTTTCCGTTATCTCACTTGTTCCTCTCGTTAAGTCTGAGTCAGTCTGTCCGGCGGCTGAGGGATACTTTTGCGCGTGGACCAGAACCAGGTACTGTTGCAGATAAGGGTCGCTGCACTGAGACAGTGTCTCTTCCCTTGAGCATCTCGAGTTCTAAGTTGAGGAAGAGGCACAATAAATTTGTAACTCAGACAAAATAATCTCAAATGCTGGTAAATGCTATGAAGGAGAAATAAATAGGGCGACATCCTAGGGAGTGGCCGGGCCTAGGAATGGAGGATGTTGCTTTGTCTACGACTGTTGGGGAACAGCCTGCTGAGGAAGTGATATTTGAATTGAGACCAAAATCATGGGAAGGAGGCAGCCAGTGAACAATCACAGAAAGAGCCTTTTCTGGTACAAGGAACCAGCGATTTTCTCAAGGAACAGAAAGAAGACCGATGTGGGTGGAAAGGAGAGAGGAGGGGACGGTAGAAGCAGATGGTGCTGGAGGGGCTGGGAGGGGTTCCTGTGGGCCTTCTCGGTTATAGTGCGAGTTAGGGCTGTTGTGCCCGTCTGGGCAGTCTCTAGGCGGTTTTCAGCAGGGAAATACGGCGATCTGCTCTGTGTTTTAGAAATACTCTAGTTATTGCTCAGAGGAAGGACTGAGGCGAGGAGGGTATGAGCGATAGTGGGGGCAGGAAGCCAGTAGAACAAGACTTAGAGGTCAAGTGGCTTCTTCCAGGTTGTGGGCACGAAGGGCTGGATTGAGAAGGGAGTCTCTTGCCACTTCATTGCTCATGGTCATGTGGAAGGTCAGTGACAGAGTGGGGAGCATACTGTGTATCAAGGTCTTTGGGGTTTTCAGGTAATGCTACTAGCATGTGGTCGAAATACAAACCATACGTTCGAGGGCCAAACAGCAATTGACTGGTTTGTTTTTATTAATTTAGCTAATAAAAAGTAAAGAAAATTTGTGTACATTACTTTTTTTCTTATTTCATTTGATTATGTTTAGTTTTAAGGTATTCCTGTATCTCCCATTTTTTAAATATGCTTTGACCAATATTACTTCAAATTTATATGCTGACTTACTTCCTAATCATAGGCTTTTGGTGGCCATTTAAAACTATGTTTCCCCATGACAAACTTGTGTTTTTAAAACAATTCAAAGAAAAAGATTTTAGAGCTAATCAACATTTGAACTATGCTTTTTCTATGAATAAAAGTGTCTTACACAGAAAATGAGGGAGAGTAATATTGAATTTTAATTTAATTATATACACAGTCTCTTTATTAATAGCTGACTCTTTAAATAGTTTAAATTTTCTCATTAAAAATAAAGTGCTTAAATACCAAATGTTCTGAAACTGTTAATATCCAATAAACAAAAAATGTTTTTGAGATTGTTGAGAACATTTCCTGAGAGTATTTGCAGTGCAGTCACGCTTAGGTCTGAGGATGGGCATAAACCATCCATAGCCACGTCACAGAGAATTTCACAGTCTCTTCAGGGAGAGGTTAAATGCCTGGGGGCTGTTTTTCCTTCGTACAGTTGGCTTCTAGTCTGCTCTTTGCTGGCATTAGTCTGTGACCAACTATGTGTCAGGCACAGATGCAACAAATGGAGACACAAAAATGAGTAAATGGAGCCTCCTGCTCTCCCGTAACTCACCAACACAGATGAACAAGTCAATCAGCAATTATAGTATCAGTGGACATAAAATGGTATTCTAGCTGGTGGGACAGAAGGAAGCCTGGGAGCACCAGGCGGAGATACCACCTCATCCTGAGATCCTCAAAGCAGGCTTCTGGGGGGAGCTGTCCCCTGAACTGACACTAGAAGGATGGGCTCCTGTTAGCAACACAAGGGTACGCCTGTCACTCCTTTCTACCTTTGTTTGATTTGCAGTGGGGGGTTTCTGAGTGTATTACATAGACTGTGTACAGAGGGGGCCCAGCGAAAAGTTCTTGGTTGGACATGTGGCTACAGCTATTAGTAGCTACAGAATGGTAGAAATAGGAGCCGTGATTCAGCATAGCACCACGCTGTCTTAAAGCACGTTTCCATATGGAATCCTCCATAACAGTGCTCTGGGTTTGCTTCGATTTGGATTTTGTCACTCTTTCTTCTAATGAAAACTCCCTCTGACCTGATACATACAATCTTTTTCTCATTTTCTTTTTAATTTTCACCGGTTTTTCTCCTTGTTCCTCTTCCTCCTCTCCTCCCCTCCTCTTCCTTTTCCTCCTATTCTTCCTCCTCCTCCTCTTTCTTCTTCTTGATTTATTCTTTTTTCCATTTTAAAATCACGTTTGTAAGTATTGCATGATGCTAGAGGAAGTGGCTTGAAAGCATTTGCACTGTGTTTGAGTAGGACCACCACCAGGAATACTGTTCACGATATATCTGATGTTCCCTTAATGTATCTTCTCTTAGTCCTTTAGACAGAGTTTTGGGCTCAGAGAGGCTTATGGAATGTGCTGTAGCAATTGCATGCATGCGGGTTTTTTGCTCACGCATCCCTTTTGCTGTCATCTAATTAGAGCAGCATCAGCATGAGATAGGAAATGCTTGAGCTCAGTCTCTTTGCAGAAAGGAAGCTGATCATATGGAAGCCAAGTTTTACCAAAATAGCTCACAATAGGGGAGCATGTCGGGCCTGGACCCGAGTGGGTATTTTTGTTAATATTGATTTTATAGATCCTGCTCATGAGCAAACTATGTCTGGCATTCATTTGGATAGTTTGGTGGGTGGGTATTAGCTTTCCTAGGTAAGTGGGGTTTTGTTTAGTGAATTACAGGTCTTTCTTTCATCTCTTAATTGTTACATAGTTGGAGTGATTTAAGGCAACTGGTCCCCAAGCTTCTTGACAGATTCTTGAAGGGAAGATTTTCATGTCTTCACAAATATATTATCATTAAGAAGATGTGTGTGATGAGTTAGTATTCTAACTTGATAGTTTAATGTGCTAATTAAAAAGAGGATTTACTGAGTGTTTGACAATCCATGTCTAGTTATGCAGCCAACTGGGCACCAATTGGGTGAAATGCTTTTCCCATCAGAAGGCAGAGCTCGGAACTTGCGAAATTCTTGGGACAATATTAGTTGTAACACAGTCGACCGTTCTGAGTTAGTTGCCACAATTCTGAGGTTTCTGGGTAAAGGTCCTAATTTACGTTTCAGCTTCTTCCTTCTGACCGTTTCCTCCCTCCCACTTCTTTAGAGTTTTGAATGCTTAAAACTGACAGGAGTATCCCATGAGGTGATGCATGAAATGAACCATAAAATGCCTTCTCTGTCTTATCTGTCATTGGTGATATGGGGTGATCCTTAAAGACTGGTGTCTAGATTTTTGGATTTTACTGGTCAACAAAATTAAAAACGTATAGTTGCCAGATATTTATTTTTCTATGTAGAATATTAAAAAAACACTTCAAAAAGGAGGAAGCTAATACCTAACCTCACCATTTTCCAAATACACTTTAACATCAAAATGTAACAAGGATAAATTCTCAGAATAAATGAAGTCTTCACCAACAGAGGACAATTGGTGATGGTACATTGATGTTTTCTCTGTGGACTGGTGACAATTTGACCAAAGATTGTCATTCAGTCTTAGACTGTATCTATGTGCGGAGCTGCTTTCAGAAGATCCTACATTGTCAACCCACTTCACATAATCTGTGGTGTCGTTTTTGGTGTTGGGACCAAAAATGTGTCCCAATACATTTAATGAATGAATTGGGACCCTTTAATGAATTAGGACCCTGCAAATGTGTCCTTGTCTTCTTTGGTGGAAGTTAATTATTAAAGTCTTTAAAATATTGGGGAGCGAATGAGTTAACATTATTTCACCTAACTGTGTAGTTATCAGCTGATGCTGGTCAGGTGCCTAGGGATATGGAGAAGCTACCTGGGGGTTGAAATGTATGTGCTTTGCCCACATTTGCTGGTCATCACTCAGTTAATGTTATTTTGCTTTCTCTCTGGCTCCTGCTTTTGCTTTCTTTTACTTAATCACACTTCTCAAGAATTTTTGCTCTATCAGTGAGAACTCAGTCATAGATTATAGTCTTTTTTTTCCTCAAAGCGTCCTTCAGTATTTCAAAGAATTTCCCAAAGAGGCCTTTTAACTTTCTGGGGAACATTGAAGAATTGGGTAAATCATGATATGGAGATTTTTTTCAAATCCTAGAATAGTGATTTTGAAATTACACAAATCAGTTCTTGCAGAATGGCACCATAATGCCTGTCATATGGATATACATATCATACCCTTTCGTTTTGACTGTTTTACTATTGGCTGCCTTTTGAAACACTGGAGTGCCTTCATTGCATACAAAAAGTAGAGAGTGCTGCTTAATCAATGATTTATTTATTTTATTCTTTTTTGATTTTATGTGCAAAATAGACGTCACAGAAGGCCTCTTCATCCTTACCCTCACTCAGTGGACCATCGTGCTCTTTCTCATCCCTGGAAAATACCATAAAGACAACCAGCACCTCGTCCTGCACCTTATCTAAGGGAAGACAGTCCTGGATCGACACAACCAGTTCGTCTGCTGCTGAGGGTGCGGAGCCGCCCATAGCACTTGCTGTGCAGTGTCACCCGCCTGCGCCCTCAGAGGCAAACAGTCACCAGGCCCCAGGGAACAGCTGCGCCGCATCAGAAAGTGGGTTTCTGAACTCTTTATCCAGTGACGACACGTCTTCATTGAATAGCAACCTAGACCACCTTACCGTCCCAGACAAGCCTACTGGATCAAAGATGATGAACAGAGGTAAACCAAGAAACCATCTACTCATCTTTAGAGAACGAATATTTGGGTGTGGATGTGGAACTCCAATGTTAATCTGTAAGAAGAGCGTTTAAAGTCGTGAATAATGAGTCAGTAGTTAAATAGTCTTGTGGGGCTAAACCCAGGGGCGGTTTCCGTAGAGGAGTTTACATGTGGAAAACTCCAGCTTTGAGGCCATTCACTACCTGCTATAAGTGTCATGAACCAAATGCCTACAGTCACCTATGAGACAGGTGATCAAAAAATAATATTTTTTCCACCAATCTGAGGAAAGCCTTGACTATTTTTTTTTGTCCTATGATCCATGCTCTGAAGCTGGTAGGAATCAGATCAGGGTTTTGTAGACTGATATTTATAATATCACCTCCCTGTTTCCAAACAAACTCAGAGCAACCACCTTTCCTGGGCCACGGCCACAGACAAACTTTGGGATAGCTGGTAGGTTCCTGAAGATGCCCATGTGGTTACCAGGACGACAATTTGCATGCATTTTGGAGGGCAGCACTAGAACTCCTTTGTGTTGTTTTAAACACAAAGGAGAAAACAGGTTATGATTTGGAAAATAAGTTTAAGTCTTAGCAAAGGGAAGAGTTAATGGAATATAGAAATGAATAATGTGAGATTTCTTGTTACTCTATGATAGTTGGCCCTTACCTTTTATTTAGGCTAACTTTTCTTTACTATGAGGTTCGGTCGTGATGTGTCTTTTCTGATGGTCTGTGCCTAATTCTCTGCGGTGTAGAACAAGCTCATCTGGTAGAAGACACTGAGCAATGACCCAGTGATGAGTTTTGTTTGTATTTTTTCAGTGTACTGTTGAGAGAAAGATAACTGGCTACATTCCCATGATATGTAGCCAGATACCGTGATGACACAAATGACTATGCTTCCCTGCCTCTGAGCCTAATCAGGGAAAGTTTAAGTTGTCAAATTTTCAGATGTATCCTGTTAATTTAATATTTGTTATCAGAGTAATTTAGGCCAAAAATGACAACTGCAGACCCAGATGTATGTGTGTGTGTGTGTACAGTGTTTTAAAGAATGTGATGGCATTTTCAATTGATACTCTCAGTGTAGGCCAATGGTCTGCTTTACACCTAAAAAAGTAGAGTGAATTTATTGGCAAAATAAGCGAACTGTGAATGAGATGGGGTAGGGAAGAGAATAAAAGTAATGCCACTGGGGGGTGGGTGGGGTCAGGTTTGGGCTGTGAGGAACGGGAAACTTAGACTCAGGCTGGCCTCCGGTTTGGCAGGTGCTGTCTGTAGAAGTATGGGCTTACTTTGTACCTCCTTGGAAGTACACCATCGAGGTCGGCAGTGCAAGCGAAAAGGAGGTAGTTTTAGGGTAAGCATAAGAGAGTTCTTTTTAACATTGGGAAAGTTCAAAATGGCATGTGCTCCTGGGAAAGGAATGCATTCCTGGTCATTGGAGGTGTTTTCTCATTCTGAGACAACCATTTTTATTGGATATTAATTGCATATTGTTCATTCTATTTGTTTTTACAAAGAGATTCTGAAGAGAGAATTCAATTATCTTCAACTCAATGGCCTCTAACTTGATACTTAGAAGATCCTTCTAGATAGCAGGAGTGGTGAAACTAACAAAAATAATAAGTACCGTATCTATTGTTTTCCTGCTAAAAATTCTTACTTTAATCATTGGGCCACGACGTAGAACTAAAAAGTTACATGCACACACACACACACACACACACACACACACACAACCCCAATATGAGGATGGTTTCAAAACCAAAACGGAGAATAAAATTCCATTTGCATTCTTTCCCGAGAGATATAACCTTGTGGATTCAGTTGTCTTCAGGGTGAATAACCTGAGAGTCATGGGGAGATGTGGGAAGTTTTCACTCATGTCTAAATGTCACCCTTGGAGTGCATGTGCACTGCGGAGCCTGGCTGGGTGCCAACAGCTCTTTTAGTCTAAGAAGGGGGAAGCCTCGTGTTTTTAAATTTTGAGTTAAATGCAGAGCGACCAACAAAACGTGTATGCTTCCCACAACAGCTTGACATGAAAGTGTTCCTATCAGTAGGAAATAAAATAAAATAAAAGTATTCTCCTCTCACTGATTTGTTGGCAGTTGGGGTATGTTGCAAAATTTTTGTTGATGATTTTCTCCTGCTACTGGGATTTGGTTAAATTCCCAGAAGGGTTAAACAACATAAAGCCATTGCTATGGAAACAGCAACCAAGTCTTTGCTTGTGTTTCTGATGACCTGCTATTGAGTAATTAGATTGTATATTTTGCATTTTTTAAAACACGTGTGTGTGGAGAATGTAGCTTTTCATTTTTGTGACTTTTAAATATTATTTTTGTCTGCCAATTAAAAAATAAATAAAAGCCCTGACATTCCTGTGTCTGAAATATTGTCCAGGGTATTTTCATGACAGGGATTGAAGTTTGAACATCATCCAAAATAGAAGTTAAGACTTTAAATTAAGTCTTAGTTTCAAGATGCATTTATTGGAGAAAGAGGCTTTTTACCCTGGACAAAAAGATTCTTAAAGTGTAATAGCTGAGTCCTGAAACAAGCAGACAACATGTATTATAGCCTTCTTTTTATTTAGACAATGAGAGAAATATTTTGCAGTTGGTATGCAATTAAAATCGTAGCTGCTAGAATTTTATGCTGAATTTAAATACCCGTTTAGACATCTCTCCCCTGCTGGGTAAGCTATTAAAAAATGCAGGATGTTAATTGCATCCTGTTGCCTTTCCACACTGGGAGTTGCAGAGTTCCAGAGCTCTCTAGATTCTTCCCTGAGTAGTTCTACAAAGCCCCAGGGGAAAGAGGTGCTGGGGTTAATGGAATGTTCATCTCGGCCCAGTTTTACTCTCTGCCATACCTTTCTATTTGGCCCATGACTGATGCTTGTGTGCAGACGACTCACATTGTATGTCCCTACGTACACGATGTTAACAATGTGGAGACAGTTTCATTATACTCCATGAATGGGGCGGTCATACCCTGAATGCTGAAAAGCTAATAGCCACTAATGAGACTAATACCCAAAGGCAAATATATTTCTCAAGTACAAGTACAGCCAGAATTAATCTGGGAATCCTGTTGAATGAAAAGCATTTTTAATGAAAAAGCATGTTTAATGAAGCACACTAGAACATGCATGACATCTCAGGAAAGTGACATAAAGAAGCCAGATTTTAGAATTTAGCAGATTTCACAATAAAATTTTATGTAATTTGAGTGTGAACAGTACAGAGGATACATTATTTTAGACAACTACTTCAGATACTGCTGCAAGGAATTTTGTGGCACGTGTCTTTAGGCAGCAGGAAGATAATAAGAAGAAAAAGTTGAATGCTGAACTCCATTAAATTTAGCAGTATTTTTTTTTGAATACCTAACATCTATTCAAGTACTTTGTGCTAAGAGGGATACAAAGATGAGCAAGATACAATTTGTGGTTTAAAAAAACATTTTCACATTTGATAGGGAGAGTGGGAGGAATAAAACACAACCGGAGAGAGCAGAGCCAAGTAAGTGCCATAGAGAGATACAAACTACTGCAGGGGTTTAAGAGAGAGCAGGGACTCACAATGGGGAAGATCCAAGATGTGATCTTCGTGGAGGTGGAAGACGTGGGGAAGACGTGGAAAAGAAATGGGGATGACTTTGAATACGGGGCGAGTTGTTAGTTTATGTCAGTAGATAATGGATGACCATTTCTAACCAGGGTAATCATACATGTCAGCTTCAAAACACGGAGTAGAAGAGGAAAAGGGAAACCTCTGCTCTTAGGAATAAGGAAATTAGAAGAACCAGGCACCTTCTGTAAGAGCTGGGGTGGCCGTGGAAACAGAGAAAGCCAAGGTTCCTGCAGTGTGCCTATTAAGGTGAAGGCTGATCTTGGTCTTTGTATCTCTCTTACTTATTTTAGTCCCTAGAAAATTTCCTAGTGATCCATTGTTTTGGACTGTGATTTGAGAATGGGGATAAATATTGACTATTGGGAAAAGCTTGAGTCTCTAATTATTGACCTCAGTAAGTGTTGATCTCAGGCATGTAAAACCCACCACCACTTGCTTTCTCTGCTCTGTGATATGCCTTTGGGAAATCCTCCTTGTATAAATGGAATTAATTTGTTTCCATTGCTTTAGAGCACTCAGTTGTAATAGATCACAAGATACTGATCTATTCTTGACGAATGTTATGTTTTTCCATCTTTTGGCTCTTACATGAAATGCTGATGTGACATTCTTTTTCTTTTCTTTTTTAAATTAATAGACAACTTTTTAGATCAGTTTTAGATTTACATATAAATTGAGCAGAAAGTACAGAGAATCTCCACTTATTTAATCCCTCTTCTTCTAGGGACAGTATTATTAATATGTTCCATTAGTGTGGTTTACCTGATGCGATGGACAACTAATATGGACATATTTTTATGAACTGAAGTCCATAAGTTTCCATTAGGGCTCACTCTGTCTTGTACAGTTCTATGGGTGTTGAGAAGTACATAATGTCATCTATTGACCACTGCCAAATTGTGTCACCTCCCTAAAAATCTTGTCATCTCTTCCACCCTTTTCTCAAGCCCCTGACAACCACTGATCTTCTTACTCTTTAGTTTCACCTTTTCCAGAATGTAATATAGTTGGAATCATGTAGTAGGTATGATTTTCAGAGTGCCTTCTTTCCCCTAGCAATATGCATTTCAGTTTCCTTCATTCGTTCCATGGATTAATAGCTCATTGCTTTCTATGTACCACAATTTGTTATCCACTCATTTACCAAAGGACACCTTTGTTGCTTGCTTCTAAGTTTTTGAAATTATACATAGGCTGCTCTGCACATGTGTATACAGATTTGAGTGTGGATATAAAAATGTCAGCTCATCTGGGTAGATATCTAGGAGTGCAGTGGGATTGTATGGTAAGACTATGTTGAGTTTTGTAAGAAATGCCAAGTTGTTTGTCCCATTTTGCATTCCCATCAGCA